GGCAATAAAAGCCCTATTTTCATTAATATTGGATTTTATGGGTATCATTTAGCATTTTGGTGAGTAGGACGGAAGTTCATTGATCCGAGCGATGGTATCCAGAGAAGCACATTTCTTTCGCCAGCAACTTTCTGGAGTCATTGCAAATATATTGTACCAGTGGCTGTTTAGTGCTTTAGGACAGGGCATTACACCAACTCAGTACAGTTCCAACGTAAGACTGTCAGGTGGGCCAGGAAATCAACAGCTAGGTTCATCTTATGGATTAACCACCCCATTTTATGATTATCAATCCTTCTTGAAGGATAGACGGCTCAAGGTGATCTTTTCCAAGGTGATAGACTCAGCCAGGAGAGATCCAATGTTGATGCTGAAGTTTTGCTGGACTTCCTTTGTGATGTTCATCACAGCTTCAGCTTTGGCTTTTCATCGGCTTTTGGTGTCTTTATCTGAGACTTACCTGGGTTCTATGCCTTTTACTTCGAAGCGATATGCAATCAGTGCATGAAATTCTTAATCTGACCGTGGATTGTGCGTCTTATTCGATCTGAATGCAAGCATTTTCCAGGAAACTAATTATAGGAATTACAACTAACATACAAACAGATATGTCTTACCTGAGTTGGATTATAGGTTTTTTGGGCATTTGGTATCTGCACTAGCAATCTGTTATTCGGCTTTCTAGTTTCGAAAGGCACAAGTGCAAGGGATAGGTAATACTGGCACTGAATATGAGCTTCCTCACCGAGTATACTGTTGCCTAAGATTGCGGAAGTCCATGCTTTGTCATATACAACCAGCACTATTCATGCTCTGCAGCCGGTAAGATATCTACACATGGTCTTTTCTTGAATTTTCAAGCTGATATGTTGAAACTGAACATTGATTTTCAGGTTAACACAGGTAGAGTATACTTTATTACTAATCCTGAATGTAACTAGTCAAGGAATTTATGTCGTTACACCATATGTTAATAATCAAATATTTCTTTGTAGAAAAAGAAAATGTAAAATAATTTATTCTTCTTCCATTTGAAACTCTGCTGTTTCTTTGAAGACCTGGATGATTTGTGTGGTTAACAGAATTACGGAGCAATAGGTATTATATTTACTTTATATTTAGATATAACTTCCAGGATGTGTATTTGATAAATTCAATAATAATTTTGTCAAAAATAAATAAATTTAATAGTTGCTACAAGTCACCCTCATTCGGTTATGTTTTTTATTTTCTGCATATTTAATATTAAGACTGTTTGAAATCAATATATTTATCTATTTTAAACATTGAAATGAATTATACATTTTTTTTTTCATATAATTCATTTATTTCATATAAATCATTGAAAGAATTAAAAGTGTTGTGCGGTCAAAGTATTGTCATTATTCTACATTGTTAATCGGTTATTATATAAACTAACTAAATTACTGTAAAATATTATAAAATAATAATTAAATTACTGTGAAATATTATAAAATTATACCTATGCATTGTCGATTTTTCCTATTGAATTTTCCTCTACAAAATCTGCTCAACATGGGAAGAGGGTGAGAGAAAAGGACAGCCAAAGAGAGTGAATGGAGAAAAATCAATGCATGGTGCAACGAAGGTAATGTATTACATCTCATACTATCTATGTCCGTACTACATAAACTATCTATGACGGCATGCTAAAAAAAAATAATCATAAAATGATATATATATATATATATATGTATATATATACACACACACATATATAACACTAATTTTGCACATATATTTTTATAAGGACTTGTGTCTTTTCATAATAAATATTAATAAATTCATTAATTATTCAGATATAATAATCAACAATGGAGTTATATAATAACAAAATTTATTATTTAATTAGTTGTGTTTTAAATTTATATAATGATGTGTCTTTTTCAATTTTTAATTTATATAAAGAAAACCGCATGCTATAATAATTATAAATAATAAATATATATTGCTTTCTCATATATCATTCCAAATAATTGGGTTTTTTTTTTCTCATTTAGTATAATGTAAATTTATTAATTAATTTAAAATAATAATTAATCTTGAGTTTATTCTTCAATTTTTAAATATTTATATGTTGTTCTTTAATTTTCCAAAAAATAAGACATCTATTTATTTATTTATTGTATAAATATTAAATTTGGATTAAGATTTATTTAAATATACATAAAAAATTATTTCTAAATTTTTTTTGTAAAAAGTGAAACTTAAAAATAGTATATATTAAATTCTACAAATTTTATTTCAATGCAAAAATGAAATATAATAATTAATCAAAAGAATTCCCATTCTACAAATTAGTAAATATTAAATTTAATAATTTTAATATGTGGCATATTAAATTTTAAATACTGAAATAATTTATAGCAAAAGAAATATTATCGGATAATCAGAGACTCATTATAATAGCTCGTGTTGCACTTGATCACCCCGTTTACCATAAACCTTGCCTTGCTCCTCACTCCCGGTGCTGGATCCAGATTTCCTCCAAACCCAACAAAACCCAGAAGTCCAATTCATTGAATTTCATTTCAGTTCTTTTCCTTTTTCCTTTTTTTTTTTTCTAATCACCGGCGTTGAATTTCAATCGTCACCATTGACTCTGCCCCTCTGTTCCTCTTCTTTCATCATGAGTTCTCCGGTAAGTGTCTCTCTCTCTATCCCTCTTACATATCTGACATTATTTAATTTCAGATCTTCAAATTACTTAATTATTGTTTGGATTGAATTGAAAAGGGGGGAAAAGAAGGAGAATCCGCGTTCTTTTTTTTTTTTTTTTTTTCCTGCTGCTGTGGGTTAAAAGTGTTTTGCTGTTGTCTTTTAAAACGGCAGGGAACAAGCATGTTCACTGGGTTTACTAAGCTATGCAAAGGATTGGCTGTGGTTCTTGTAGCGGGTCACATTGCGGTTCAAGTTCTTCCTGTTGCTGTTACATACCTTGCGCTTATTCCTGCTAGGTACATTTCTCTCTCTCTCTCTCCTTTTTCCCTTTTCGGTTTTCAGTTATTGATCTGTGGATTTATGTTTCATGGTTTTTAATGCATTAATTGGTAATGAATTAGTAGTGTTGTTGTTGCTTTTGGTATATTCTTGTTAGGCATAACCATGTGTATCTAAGTGTGGATTTTGGAACTCAGGAAACGAATGGGTTGTAGTTATAGTTGCAGGATCTGCTTGTGCATGAATAAGGGTAGTCAAAGATGCTTGTTATTAGAACTTCATGGTTACTGATACTTTTTTTTTTGGGAATAACATGGTTCTTATACTATTTAATTGTGTTTCATGTGCATTTTGCTTGATGTTTAGGTGTAAGGACACTTAGTTCATCTGTATATTGTGATGTGATAACTCAGAAGTTAACCGTTCTCTTCTTATCTTGATGGTTATAAATTCCATTCCATTGAAAATGATTGTGTCCGGATACCTGAATCCAAAGTGGTGTGGGTCTCCATTTGAATGTCATCATGTAGTGCCTATTATGGATTTTGGAATAAAATCATGGAATCTCATAAAAATAGAAAAGGTTTTGGCAAGTGGCTACCTGATGGAAACTAATTTTGAAGCTTTTAATTTGTTTCCTAGTCACATTATTGGATAAATGGGATTGTCAGGAGGACTTAGGAGTTCACTAATTATTTTCTTTTAGCATATCATATCTGACAAAGGTAACCTAAAAAATACTATTCTTCACTTTCCGTTCCTGGGACTGCAGCAATTTGTTTGTAACTTTTTCTTTCTTTGATGAGAAAAGAGAAAAACATATGAATAAGGCACAAAGGGGAGATAAAAAGAGATTTACATCCCAGTTAGAAAATCAATAAGGTTCCCAAGATCCTCATCAGAATTAATAGGATGACCCTTATAACAAAAATACAGGATCTGGAACCACATGTTCCTAGCCTTATCAAAAGGAAAACTCTAACCAAAGAGATTATTCTCTTTCTTTCTTTCCAAATAATCCACGAGGTATTTATACTTTTATTTAAATAATAATAATAAAAATCCACGAGGTAGCTAGAGGAATAAAGAATTTTTCCTTCTCTAATCAGCCACCACCCAACTCAAACCTAGAAAATCAAATGCTATGCACCAAAGTCGAAAAGCAAAAGAGCACCATAACAAATTGTGGTTTGAACGACCCACTTGTTCTTTTGTATAAGTAGCACCCATCAAACCAAATCTTCCCTTCTGCATATTCAGCAGTGAGTTAGTTTTATGTTAATACTCTGTATTAAAGATGTAGGAGAGGATGATTATTTAGGAGCACGGTATCTTAAACTTCAGTTAAGCTTTTGTTGTCTGGTCTCTAATTAGATTTCATGAGTGCTTTGATTTGTCAAATATGACTTTGCTCTTGCCTTAAGGACGTTGGTCATGTCTTAGTGCAGGTGACCTATTTCCTTGAACTTCCTACAGCCTTTTTTTTTTTTGTTTTTTAAATAGAAAGGATAGAGTGCACCTGGTAAATTCCGAACTCTTAATTATGGAGACTGCCTCCTTTAAACTCTTAAAATTTATTGCATGTGAGGTTCTGAAAATGTTTCAATGGGTATTGGCGTTGTTATACTGTTAATCAAAAAAATTCTCAAAAAGCCTTTAAACAGCTCCCAATTTTAGAAAGATATGAAGTTCTCCCTTTCTTTATGGTGAAAAAGCTATGCTCTATCATTAAGTTTCTGTTAAGTTATCTTTTTGGGCTTTATCGGTCGAGACTCAAACATGGTCAATGCAATGACTTCTTTGAATGTGTGAACTCTAGAAGCTATTTTCTTACTTTCGGAGTGTTTTTGAGGGGATTGTAGAAGAGATAACTAAGGTTAGGGATAGATGACTACACTATGTGGGATTTTTGAGCTTAGGTCGTGATATTAATAGGGTGCAGTATTTTGGAAATTCTATTGATATATGGACTGACCTGTAAATATTTTTGTACATGGGCCCCTTGGTGCCAATGTGTTAATACACACTTAATATTTTTTTTATACTTTTTATTTGGAAAAAAGAAATCTCTGCTTTGTGGTAATGGACAATGAGTTAATGAATTTTTGTAAACGTGTGGGAGTTTCTTGGTGCACTCTCTGATCATGTGAAGTAAAGCTTGAGCTGATGGTTATATGTGATTAGTTATTTGTTTGGACTTAATTTTAACTGTGGTCATTTACTCCTTTCACAAGAGGGAAAGATTACATACAAAAGTCCTTTTTGCTTGCAATTTTTACTCGCTGGCATGGAATGTTATTTATTTTGATGTGATGTTCATTTTGTAGGACAATTCCTTTTGCTTGGAATCTTATTACCGCTGGTTACATTGAACAGTCAGTCTATGGGGTATGCACTTCTTTTGCTGTTAATCAAGTTTATGATATTTAACCATATGATCTGGTTTATACAATTGGACTGATAAGTGATCAACGTGGATTTATAGGTAGTTGCCAGCACTGTCGGTCTCCTTTTCATGGGAAAGTTGCTTGAACCTATTTGGGGTTCTAAGGAGTTCCTGAAATTCGTCTTTGTTGTCAACTTTCTTACTTCCTTATGTGTTTTTGTCACTGCTATTGCCTTGTACTATATAACAAGGCAGGAAAATTACCTGTGAGTCCTGGATGATATTTCTACACTTCCAAGGAGTTTTTAGTTTTGATTTACTTCTGCTTCTGTCTCTGCATCCCTTTCTTTTTCCCTTGTTATTACTTACCTACATCATTATTTGCAACCATCATTCAGCAACCATAAGTTCATGCACCCTAAATTTTTATTTATCAATGTATGCTATTTCGTTATTAGGAATCTAGCTTGGTAGATTAAGGTTGTTTTATTTTTTGCTATTTTGTCTTTGTTTTCCTTTTATCAACTCTTTTCTTTTTCCTCTGCTAGTTATATGCCTCTTTCAGGCTTCCATGGCGTCCTCGCTGGGCTCTTAGTCGGTATCAAGCAAATAATACCTGACCAAGAGCTGTCTATATTGAGACTAAAAGCGAAGGTATGCACACTTTCAAAAGCAATCTTAATCTACCCATGATTAGGTTAATAGGAAATTATGTGAATTCAAGATGTGCCTTCTCATCATCTGTGTTGATGTGTTGTATTTTACAGTGGCTGCCTTCTATTATGCTTGCTGTCTCCATTGTTGTAAGCTTCTTTACAGCAGAGTCAGCAACATATCTTCCAACCTTAATATTCGGTACATATATGGGCTGGATTTTCCTCAGATATCTACAAAGGAATCCAGAAACAAAACTTAGGGGTGATCCAAGTGATGATTTTGCATTCTCATCGTTCTTTCCTGAGTTTCTTCGGTAACGAAGTTCCTCCTCTTAAGTTTCCCCATCTTTGTATTATTTGGCTCATATGGTGAGTTTATTTTTTTCTTCCATCTCTCTCACTTCCAAGTGTTTCTCCTTGTTTGGATGCAGACCTGTTATTGATCCCATTGCATCAATATTTCATCGGTTGCTTTGTGGAAGATCTGAAGCTTCAAAAGAAGCCCAGGGTTATACTTTGGGAGGTGCTCCATTGCCTGGTTCTGACCCTATTGAGGCTTCTAGGAGGAGGTAACATTCTTTCTACTTTGTCAACATCCCTTTTAATGAATTAATGTCCCTCCTCATGTCAACATATTTTATTGTCTATAAGGAATTACACTCACTTGTTTTTTAGTACAAGTAGCTATGGGATTTGCTGACTTTTTTACTATCATCCGGCTGTTACTGAGATTTTTACTTCTGTTCAATACATAATGACTGAAACTAACTTTAGTTGTTTAATGCCATTAGTTTATTGATGGTCAACAAGCATAACTAAAACCTCCAAGGAGCACCTGCAACATGTTTGTGAAGGGTGGAGCAGTTAAAATAGAAACAGAAATAAATGACTTGGACGTTAGCAATGTGTCTGGAGTTCAATAATTTAATAAAAACAAATGTAGTACTTTAATTTAGTAAAAGTAAATATAATTTAGTAAAAGTAGAAATAAATCAAGTGTTGGTTGGAATTTTAGGCATGTTTTCATCATTTTCAAATGGAATCTTCAACATGTCCTTGTTCAATTGGAATATGTGGAAGTTTTCAGACAAGAGTGGTTTGAGCAAACGGTAAAAGATTTGCTTCGGGGTGATATATAAAAGGGAAAATGGGGTTACAATCAATTGAAAACATAATTACGCGGTGTTTGTGCAGGAAACAAGAAGGAATTTATATAGCTTCTGATTTATTATCCTCCTTGCAGAGAAAGAGGGGCTAGAGCGCTGGAGGAAAGATTGGCGGCCACACAGAGCTCAGATGAGTCACAAAAAGATGCCTCTGAGAATGTCTGAGAGGCCGGACATAAATCCTTTTTTTCTGGATTTCAGGTGGACAGTTTTGTCATACTTTTGCCTTGAATTATAGCTCCATAGATACCATGTTCTTTTTCTTTTTGTGCATCGTGTGCAAAAATCGTCTGCATCCTTCCCCGCCATATGTAGAGAAAAAAAAAAAAATGAACAAATCGAATTCGTATCTGTTTATTATCCTTACCCTCAAAATTAGTAGTAGCAAAATCTGTTTGTTTCTTACATTATCATTGTTTGGCATGGGATACTCTTGTAATACATAATACGCCTTTTTTTTTTTTTTTTTTTTTCTGATCTTCATAATTCTTTCTTTTGGAAGAAAACCTTCTTTCAGCATAAATAAGCTTTTCTTTTTCTCTCTTCTTATTGGTTACTTACACTCATCTCTTACATGATGCTTTCTATTGAATTATATTGGTGAGTAACATATTATTTAAATATTAATTTATATATATATATATATATATATTTTACTAAGAATTGATTATTTTTTAATACATTTTTTTTAAGTTAGAGAAAGGGGGGGTTAGATGTTTTTAATATATTCAATCTATAATTATCACAATGGTTCAACATGATTATATATAAATGCATATTTTTGTTTATACAACTAGTTATGTATTTTGGGGACAATCCATGCTCACATTTACACATTTATATACTCCACAAACAAAATGATATATACACACACACACATGTATATACTCCATAAATTAAAAAAATAACTCATCTTAAGGCCAATATTTATATACCCCCACAAATTAAATACTAAATTCTACATGTATACCCTCAAAAGCAAACAATAGATGCACACATTTATATAATCCATAAATAAAAAAGTCATGCTTATAATGTATATAAACCAAGTTAGTTCTTGTGCATGTATACCCCCCATCTAAATCATTTAAAATCTTCTCCTACAAAAATAATTTAAATTATTAATAATTTCAAGTATATTAAACATATAAAACGCTAACAACAATATTTTAATACGGTACATTTCTATTTTAACAAATAAAAATTTAGAAAGTTCGAATCTTTTCAATGGCGTTGTGTCCCTAACGTTAGTTTTAAATATTTTTAGAACAATTTTCTGTCACACAAAACAACACATCATTGTTTACGATTCCTCACGGCATCTACAAAGCGGCCGCATGGCATCTGCTCCATAAATTCCTTTCTATCTAACTGTTAGTTTAATTGAGGGACCAAATTGAAAAATAATTAAAAAGTAGGTGCTTACTTCTAAGAATCTTAAACTTAGTTACCAAAATAAGAAAAAGGGCAAAATTCAGAGGACAAATTTACGAATTATCCAATAATAAAATAAGCAGCCCATCAGCGTTGATCTTTCTTGGCACTTTTTGCTTTATAAAAGCAACAAACAAACAGGCGCTGCTATTTTACTTTCTCCACCAAAAGGGCCACCTGTAATTCTTCATCGCTCTCTCTCAACCGCAAGATCATTTGACCATCGACGACTCAACGTCGAATCGGACAGTGAAGAGGTAACTCCCTGCTAAAGAATCATCGTTTTCTGATCATCCGCCGATTGATCGGCCAAACTCCATCCTTTGTTGCGCGTAAACGTTTCCTCACTTTGTTGTTTCAATTTTGTGAAACCTTTTTTTTGTTCGCTTTATTTGCAATTATGGAATTTTGGTTGCCTATATGATTCTTCCTTTTTTCTGTTCGTTGCAGTTTTTATATGGTTATGATGCGATACAATGGTGTGTTTCTTTTGTTTGGTTAAATATCTGGTTAAGATATCGTGATGATTCTTTGCTTTCTCTTCTTTTCTTTTCTTTTTTTCCTGGTTCCTGTGACATTTTAATATGGAATTTCTAGGTATTTCGCAATGCAATCTTGGTTTCTGAATTTGATCATCCTGTAGTTTGTATTTCTTTTCTTGTATACTATTATTTATTATTATTATTTTTAAATTTTGTTATCATATTTATTGTAATTCCATCAATTGGATTATTTCCTCTTAATGTGCTAATGACGTTGCAAAAAATTAACTATGGTTGTTGAATAGGCGATCCATTGGTTATTACTTTCATTTATGGGGAAGTCGATTTGAGATGTCAGTTGTTTTTTTATCTTTGATTTTACTGGGTCATTAGTGGCGTCTTTTTTGGCGCCTCACTGGCTGCTTCATTTGTGGAACTACCACATATATCAGAATTTTCTTCTTAGTGTTCAGTCACTTTGCTTTTGTATCTCTCTTTCTGCCTATTATGAATAAACGTTGATCATTGTGTAATACTGGTAATACGGTTACTTTTCTTCTAATTGGTTGTAAACTGGAGGTTGCATGTATTTGAGATCAAGCTTTCTCTGTAAACGTCATTATACTTGTATGGCTACTTTTTATTTTAGCTTTATTATATTATATCCTAATTATCATATTTTGCTATTTGGATAAAGTTCATTAACTAGCCTTAAAAAATAGCTTCTGTTGTGGATAACATAAGGAAATTAGTATGAAATGCAAACAATTTTATTCAGAGAAAGCATCCTTTCTTTTCTGCCCACTTCCTTTTCACATAAACTGTCTCTTAAGCCATGTTGGTTTAAGATGTTAATATAATGGTAGTAAATAATTTCCCTAACAAATGAAGACGTGAGGAAATTAACTGAAAGTGCTATATCCATGCAGCTGGATTGCAGACTTTTTTTGGCAATTAATAACTTCTATTTCCAAGTTCTAATGGATTACTTTCATTTGTGATTGTGAGTGATAATACTGGATTCCTTTGGCTAGATGCACCTCTCACTATCATTTCTTCTGTTAGGCAGAAATTTCGACAAAAATGTATTTCATTTATAACAAATTTTCTTTTGGTAGTCATAACAAGATTTGGAGTCATGTGCTTGAGAAAAAGGAAGTAGATAAAGAAAACAATTTTTCTTGAGAAAAAAAATGCAAAATAAATTATTTTTAAGACTTAAAGAAGGAGCCGAAAGGGGATAAAGGTCTCATGTCCTGATGGTTTCTCTACGGTTTCTAGCCTTAAATCTTCCTTTTTGGTTCTCATACCTTAAGTTGAAGGTGCTTTTTATAAACGATTTAGACCCATTGGCTTGGTTGACTGTGTTTACAAGCTCATTGTTAAGGCGTTAGCTAGAAGACTTGGGTGGATGATGAGCAGTATGGTTGAAGAGCCTTGGCATGCTTTTGTTGATGGAAGGCAATTTCTAGATGTCTCTAATTGCTAATGATGGCAAATTCTTGTGCTGCTACCGGTGGTTATGAGAGAAGTGTTAATTATGCTTTTCAACTCAATCATTAATTCTTGCAAAGCATCCTAAGATTTCCTAAATTTCTGAGTATGTATATTTCATATTCAATATTTAACTGACAACAGTTTTTCATATATGCAATGACTACTAAGAGAGTTTTTAACATAGGTAAAAATATTAATATGTTGACATTAGATACAAATTGATTGTGGATATATCTCGATGCTTTTTATACATCCATATGAACAAAAATATGGTACAAAACATTATATGTAATTGGACAAATTATATAATAAATTATGACAAAAAATTTATTGGATTTCAAATCGAGTTAAAGTTAATGTGCTCTAAAGTGACTCTGATGTGCAATCTAACAAATATGTTATAATGAGAAAATTTGAGGCTCTTTTTCTTTTGTTTTCTGTTGCAGTATAAAAATTGTGGAAAGTGGAGATAAAAGTTGGACACTGATACCAACTGATTTAGGACGAATGGCGGCTAAACTAACTGTCCTGCAGATAATTCAGAAAATAGAGGAAATTTATGTGAGAAACAGAATATAGATAAGCAAGAAAATTGGGGATCAAGGTGAAGAAATATGAGGAGAAGTAGAATGAATGAGGTAGATTAGAGACAATAACAACTAGAAGAACAAACAAAGAAAGAGATAATAGGGAATAAAACCGTAACAGAAAAAAAATTTATTCATTTTTTCTTCTTTTTGTTGGTAGCTATGACCTTTTTATAGACATCATAAAAGAGAAAATCTAAAAGATTAGTTCCTTTAATATTTAAAAAATTTACATAAAATGAAACTAAAATATTATAATGCCAAAAGAAATTTAAATAATCTTAAAAATAAAAAAATAATAATGATAGAAAATTTATTCCCAAATAAGATCTTGTTGTTCTGCATCACAAAGGATTTTACGTAGGAGGATTCCTTCTCCACTTGCATTTCATCCTTGTGATTGAAGCCCTCAATAGGTTAGCTGTTAAACATGAGGAGTTGCAGATAATTCAGGTCGATTGTGGCAGAGTAGGAGACGGTGGCATAGGTGCCTTCCCTTTTTTTTCTTTATTAACTAATGACACTCTCTTATCTTGCAGGCTTTATAGTAAGTCCTTCCTTAATATCAAATGCATTATTCTATGTTTTTAAGTTGTTGCAGGACTGAAGATTAATCTGGCCAAGTCAGAGATGGTCCTTCTTGGGAAGGGATTGGATATGGAAAGGTTTACCCATATTATGGGGTGTAAGGTGTCCATATTAGCTTCAAAATATTGGGGTTGCCTTTGGGTGCAAATTTCAAAGACAGTTATTTTGGAACCAAGAATGTCTAGATTTGAGTAAAGATTGGCTGGTGGAAAGGATTTCTATCCAAGAAGCAAGCTCACTCATCTCAAGTGCATGTTGTCTAATCTACACATCTATTTCTTCTCCTTGTTTCCTCACATATTCTGACAAAAAAGTTAAGGGGTCTTCAGTGTTGTTTCTTTGGGGTGATAATGAGGGCAATGTTCCACTATGTGACATTGGATTCTTAGGGTTAATCGATTTTGAAAGAAATTTAACTTGGGTTGGGTTGAGTTCAATGGAATGGCAGTAAGCTCCAAGAAGAGTATAGGCTTTTGGAAAGATGTTTGTATGATGGAGCCTCTCTGTATCAACAACTTTCTTATGTGCTCTATTTGGCAAGAAATAAGGAGGCTACTGTGATGGACTACTTCTCCATATTTGCTGGTCACAAGATGTGGCAATTGTGGACCTTCGAAGAAATTTGAGTGATTGAGAGAAAGAAGAAATTGTTTGTCTCCTTCATCTCCTTTCCCTATATAATATGCATCTATCTTTGGTGGACAAGATCGTCTAGAATTTGGGTGCTAGTGGACCCTTCTCTATGAAGTTCTTCTAATGCACTTTGCTCAGCCCTCCCTTACCCGTTACAGTTTTCCTTGAAGCATATTTGGATGCTTAATTTGTAATACAAGATTGGTTTTTTTGCTTGGGAGATAGTGCAAGGGAGGATTCTTACTA